CCGCTATTTAGGGGATTATACAGGGGAGTATTTTAGGGGTTATTAAGGGATACCAGGAGTGTAGATCACATCTCATATGTCACTGGGCCCCAAGCGATTCCTGTTCAGGATGGATTTCCAAATATGAGGTACTGGGGGCTCTGCAATGGGTTCCTCCGGCATATTGGTGAAGGTATGTATTTGATGTACATGTGGGGAAAACATAAGATGTAGATTTTGCCTTAGACCCCTTCTGCCCTGCTGGAGGCCTTGGCCGAGTGCAGAAGCCCGAATGACTAGCAGCATCATTCCTTCATAGCACTCATAATGTAACGCCATTTTACAGTATACCCCGAAAAGCCCCTATCTCTCCATCTATCCATCTTACAATCCCCTTGACCTCTGTATAAGCCCAGTTTCCGTTTTGGTTTCCGTACTTGTTCATTTTGGTTCACCACTATTACACACAAATAGGCCCCTAGACCCCAAGCTCTAAACCCCAAACCTTAAACCCTAGATCCTAATCCCGAAATCCTGAACTTTAAGTCCCAAACCCTAAATCCCAATGCTTACATCCCGAACCCTAAGTCCTAAAGCCTAAACCCTAAATCGCAACCCCAAATCCAATGGTTGCATCCTCTGCTTGTAGCTGGGGCTTCCAGGCAGCTGGCTTCCATGGAGGCGGCCTGTGAGTCGCTTTCACAGCCGCCTCCAGTCCCTGAGAAGGACCCCAGCTATCGACCGTGCTCGGCCCCAGGTATCATAGGGTATAGGATTTAGGGATTAGGGTTTATAGGGCCTTAGGGTTTTAGGGAGTAGGGTTTATAGGGCCTTAGGGTTTAGGGAGTAGGGTTTATAGGGCCGTAGGGTTTAGGGACTGGGGTTAGGGCCTTAGGGTTTTGAGTTTAGGGACTACGTAGGGCTTAGGTTTTGCGGTTTAGGGTGTGCCTGGACCCCCAATGGCCCAAAGCTCATAGAAATAGAGTCAGAGGCCATTATTCTACATACTTTGCGGGGTTCAGGTGCTGTAAAGGGTTATGTGGAGGTTAAGATAGGGTTTAGGAGTAGTACCCACTTATGGAGAATCAAATGGCACGTGAAATGCATTCTTGGATTACATACAGTAGTGGTACGTCCCTCTTCCCCTGTGAAGGTTCATGGGAAGCTATAACTGGGCTTAAAATCAGGTCACTACCCCCAAACAATATAGTTATAAGTTAGGGGACCTGCCCCCCTGCGTATGCTGCCCATGAACCCTCAAGTGAGATTGATGGAGCAATACCTGCATGACCCTAAGCATACTGTAACGACATACATCCTTGGGATGATGCTAGTATGTATGGGGTCAAGCGCGATATTGTCATAGTCCATCAGTAGCAATGACTGCAGTCGCCTGCCTATGACTTTTGGCAGCAGATTGATGCCAAGCTGGTAATTGCTATTGTTTGCATTGCTTTTACTAGGCAGCATGTAACAAGAATGAGAAGGAAGAGGGTGGCATAGAGTTCTGCACAGGCGCAATGGCCCAATGTTATGACAAACTGCTTTCCGCTCAGTCTTGAGCTGATGCCCTTTAGTCATTTTCATGAGTGTAGGGTTTAGGGCTATAGGGGGGTTAGGACTTCCGTGTAGGTACTAGTCCAAAATCAAGAGTATGATTCTATCACCATTGCGGTTATACTAGTTTTTGCGCAGAACATTCTTTAACGTGCCACCGAAAATCGCGACTCATATGTAGAAGCCTGATTTGTAAGGAAGCATATTCGCGTATAAGCTTTATGTTACTGGTTCTTAGTAGGGCATGAGGGGATATGTGTTATAAGGACTATATTCTTCATCCTTCGTTCCCCACTAAGAACCAGTAAGATATACTTGGATCCTCTCTTTGAGGCCTCGCTGGGGAAAAGCCAGACAGCAGATAGAGCAGCTTCCCGTCCGCAAGACTTACTATCGTTATCGTTATCGTTATTACTCTGCTTTTTTGTATCATTGACTATCACTACGGTCATTATTATCACTACGATGGTTACTACTCTTACTATCATTACTATAAGTACTATCATGAATATGCCTACTATCATTTTTTATGATTCGTATTCCCTTTTACCTTATTAGTATTTTTGTCATTGTTACTATTGTATTATGTTTACTTTTTTTTTTTATTATTATTCTTAATTGTTATTACTATTATCGACTGTTAGTAGGGAGGGGAGAAGCAAGCAGAAACTGCTGTCTAGGGGTAACCGTTTAGGCTTTAGGGTAGGGAGTGCTGGAATGGATCCCAACAGTAGCCCTCATATCATCAACAAACAAGTATGGCAGTTATATTTTTTGTTGATTCCTTAATTCCGGGCTAACAACAAGCAAAATTTAGCCCTAAACCCTATACACCTCTAAAAGGCCCCAGTTTCTATTTCACTTTGAGGAGGCCCTCTGGATGCTCTGGCCCTTGGTGGAACCTTAGGGTTTAGTTAGGATTTAGGGTGTAGGGTCGCAGCGCGGACAAGGAACGTGTAATGCAGAAAGATCCTTTATACCAGCATTTCCAAAACAAACCCCTCAGAAGGGATCACACCCCAATCATACTGGCAGTCATACAAAAGCCAAAAAAATTCTAGGAGTTCGGAATGCCCTAAACCCTATACCCTTAAGATACAAACCCTAAACCTTACGCCAAGTGTGACGCCGCCTTACCATCCAGGCTCTTGGCACGGAAGGCGAACTTGCGAGGGGGCTCGCTCTTCGTCCTGGGCTCAACATGTTTTATGATCCCCCAGGTTTTAGGGTTTAGGGATTCGGGTTAGGGTTTAGGGTTTAGGGTTTACAGGGTTTAGGGGTTTCCCCTCAATTAAGGCAGGGTTTAGGGTTAGGGATAATGAGGGCTCATTAAGGATCATTCATTAAGGGGAGCTTGGGGGGTGGTAGGGGAGGGAACCCATGATGAATGTTGGTCACAGGGTTTAGGGTTTGGGGGGCTTAAAGTTTATGGTGTTTACGGAGGTAGCACAACGGGCATCAGGCTGTTCCGATGATGACAAACGACGTTGCAAATCTACAAAGGTGCGAGCCCTCTATTCTGAGATCCCGGTTTCCATTAAAAGTTCCATGTCCTTGTGCATTTGATACCCCACTACCTTGGTCATATCTTGAGCGTTCCCTAGGTACGGCGCAGACATCTGGTGAGGGACCAGTTTTGCTCTAAGCCTGCCAAATGGCCATGCCGTCTCACCTGTGCCACGCGAGTTCCAAGCAGCGCAAGCATGAGCCCACGACGCGCACCCCGCCCTTTAGCACCTTTGTAATGTGTGAGGCTTCGAGAGCAGGATGTTGGATTCTTGGGTGTCGGTGGTGCGGAGGGACTTGCGACTTGCGGCGTCGCTTGCACAAGACTCATGCCAATAAGCGCGGTGACAACATGTGAAATGGCTGTCACGACAGACTTTCCCAGCAGCCAAAAGAGTTATTTGCCTTTCCACAAGATTCGCTGCCCCACATGCCTGCAGGTGTTCGCAAACAGTGTGTGGTTGAGCTTGATGCTTGCCGTTCTTACAAAAAGCTTCAAAAGCGCATACTTCAAATCGGCGATCCCGTCGCCAGTAGTAGCAAGACGAAACATGCTAGCCGGGTAGTTTGGGATCACTTTTGGCTCATAATCCATCTGTGATACAGCAATCATTGGGGAAATGTCTCGAGCTCCAGATTTTGGAATCTATTCTATTTGTTGTTTGCGAGCAGGAAATGCAGGAATAGATCCCAATAGTAGCCGATATGCAAAGCTCCAAAAATATTGAATACCCATTCTTTCGTTCCCTACTAGCCCCCCGTAAGTCTGGGCTTCTCACTTGTTCTTACTAACCATGAGTAAGTCCAGACTCAGTGTGCCCCCTAAACCCGAAATCTTAAACCCACTAAACCTGAAACCCTCTGAACACCCCAATTCCCCCAAAACCCCCAAATCCAAAAACGAGTGAGTTGATCCTCCAGCCATGCACTTTCGGAAATGGCCGACGCAAACGCTGCGGAGGCTGTAGTGCTACAGCTTGACATGGGGCCTTTTTTAGGGTTTGGGGTCTAGAGGACCCTCTTTTTGGGGGGGTGTCCTTTGAGGTCTGTGAGCATTAGGGTCAAAGGGGTTAACTAGGGAAACAAAGTGCTTAGGGCTTCGATCTAACTTCAAAGTGGGGATTCCTGTAGGTGTTCCTTTCTAGAGAGACCCATATCCGTTTGGGTACATCAGAGAGACCCCATTTCTGGAAGCTTGCAAATCAGCATCTCTCCAGGAAATCGTTCAATGTTCTGTGTTTCGCTTGCTAAGCCCTGGAAAATATCTCTTAGAACCCTAAATAACCCATAGCCCCTGTAAAGGGACCGCAAACTTATGGAACTTCCAGTTGCGGACCGCATTGTTATGTTGGGTTTAGGTGGAGTAGAGCCGATGTTAGCACATTTCCGAATCATATGCATCGCAGTGGCCGTGTTTCCACATGGCCTGTGCCCGTCAGGATATTAGTGGTTGGCTGGAGACTGCTGCAATGAGTGCCCACCACAATTTGCTGCAAAGAAAGCGTACACATGTGCTGTAGAATGTAGAAGCTACTTACCAAGATTACCCCATTAAGTACCACGTCATACTATACCGCAGAAACCTAAATCCTAAATCTTTTTGGCGCTTGCATTAGTCATCATTTGTGGCTACCCTCAAGCCTCAAACCGAACCCCCGAATGACCGAATGAAAGCAAGACGGTTATTGCTACTGCCTTGATGCGTTTCTTGCTTCGCGGGCTACTACATAATGTGTCGGGATGCGGAGGGAACATGGGGCTTAGGACTGTTTGATGTCATTGAGGGGGTAGGGTTTAGGGTTTGGATCGAGCCCTTAGGTTGAGCCCGGGAGACTTTATAAGCAACAGTCGTACCTATACAGTGGGCATAAACAGAGATATGTATGCTACGAAGCAACCCATGTCAGGGCAAACCCTGTAGGACTGGCATGCTGCGAGTGTTGAAGCTGTGGTATGCCATGGCCTTTGCTCGCCCAATGCTCGCTGCCGACCCGCTGGAGGTCCAGGCCTTGCAATCAGCGACTTTCCAATGCATGAACCCATTGTTTCGCATTCAGTGGCACACGGGTGCGAACGACTTGGGTCAACTTGAGCCGCAGCCGGTTGTGCATGACCGCTTGTTGAGATGTGCCATGTGGAATGGGAAGTCCTCCTGCTGCAGTACAAGCCTTGAACCATTCCAGCTGGTGGTCTTCAATGCGCATAGGGACCACATAGAAGCTCAGGTGCTGATATTAGAGCAATACTTAGCATCACTTGTGAACTTGCGCAGCTCGGAAGTCTGCGAAAAATCAACGCAGCTTGAGCAGCAATTGCTGGACAGGGCAATCGATTCCATGCAGGCGGCGCTCGAGTTTGCAAAACCTTGTGTTTTGCACTTCTTGGCCTTTGTGGCGGGCATGATCTGCTTCAGTTGCCAGCCTGATTGGGTAAACTATGTATGGCGCAATGGATATGGGGAGGTGGTGGGCGTGAATGTCGATCCAAATTCTTGTATCTACGTCGATCGCGGATGTGGTGTGTTTGGACATGCAGTGCAGGAAGCATACATGCACGTGATGGAGAGCCAGCTGGCAAAGCGCCCAGCAGCTTCCCTTCCAGACTTCTCAATGTTCTTCAGCCGAGAATCATTGTGCAAGTGGCTCCGTAGCACTGTGGCGCTGGAGCCCATGGCATTCAAGTCGAGTCAAGTAGCACGGCGCTTGAGTCAGCACATGTCCATTGCAGATGTTGAAGGCAGCAGAGGCTTGGCTTCAGCAGATACTGCTACTACAAGCGTGTCCTTGCCTGAAGCCGTGGTACAGGCTACAGCGATACCAACGTCTTTCCCGCTCACAAAGGCCCCGACAGAGGCATCTTCACCTGCACTGGCGGTTGATCCAGCTCGGGACGGTTTGCTGTCGGATTTTCGTATTCACTTCGCGCCTGGATGACTAACTGTGACTAACAAAAACAGACGAAATCACCATGTGCACTGGAGTTGCTCACAGGGACGCGCAGGTTGTGGAAGGTCTCTGGCTGCAGGCCACGGCAAGGTGTTAAAAGCCCCGGCAATCAAGCCCGCCGTCTGTCTGCACCCGCAGCGAGCGGGCTTTTCCAGGAGCCGTCAAAGCCAGGCGGCAAGAAAGGGCCGATCTGGTGGGCAAGAGTTGGAATGCCCGAATGCAAGGGAAGCTGTTTGAGGTACCCTTTGCCATACCTAATATACTGGGTAGGCCCCCGGGATATTGAATATTTTCCCTAGTGGCTTTAGTAAGAGACCCTATATACTAATGTTTTTCAAAGGGTTTTAGGGGCCAACCCAGTATAAGGAATGTAGGACCATGATATCGGGAATGATTGAGGTGCGCAATACCTTCCTGTCTTTGGTAGCATCCGAGCATGACCTGCGAGGCAGCCAGGGCAGCGGTGGCTTCGCTGATGAGTCAATTAGGCCCGGCGGTCTGGTCTTTGCTGTAACTATAGGGTTTAGGGTTGCGGGTTTAGGGTTTCTGCTGTGGCCAAAAGACATTGCCAACTTCGATAGGTACACAACACCCAATATAGAATAAGATACAATAAGGTCAGGTTCTCCGATTTGGTTGGAGGACATTGACTTCATGAAACTTATTGTAGGGCAGGTACTGGAGCTCTGTTCAGGATGTCCGGTATCAAGCGCAGTCATGGAGTTGTGAGCAAGAAGCCCAGCTACGGTGCTGGCTCCCTAAACCCCTAAACCAGGGTTTAGGGTTTAGGGTCGAAACCCCAAACCCCAAAGCCTAAACCATAAGCCGAGCTGTCCTTGCATGTGTTCTGGAAAAGCACCCATGGGAGTTTCCCAGCATGATCCCTGTTTTTGGGTTTATAGGGTTTACGGGGTTAAGGGGTTATAGGCTTAGGGAGTATGATCCTGAATGGGGCCCCCTATCTTCCCTATGATATGTTGCGAGGGTTTGTTGGGGCCCCAGATCTCGAGAAATACCCAATGTGACCCGACTCCATCCCCAAATCCAAATTTTGAAATCCTAAGCCCCAAACACTAAACTCTAATCCTAAGCCGCAACCCTGAAACTCTAAATCAAAAGCTCCCAACCCCAAACTCGATATCCTAAGCCCCACACGCAGAACTCGAAATCCTAAGCCCTAATCCCCAAACTCTTAATCATAAGTCCCAAGCCCTTGGGGTCCCTTTTATTAAAGCGTTTCTAATATATTGGTAAATGAAGATGTTTAGGGGTTGCAGGGATTGGCTCGCCTTCTGGACATTTTTGAAGGTATATGTTAGGGCCCCCTCATATGTACGGGAACTCCCTTACGGGGATTTCCCTATAGCACCAGTACCTGTCGTGGGGTTCCTATTGCGTTCCTATTGCAATACGGGTTCCTATACGAATTTCCTTGATTTGGGGGCTACAGCCTCTCATAGCCTCATAATTAGACTCTACGGGACTTGGCCTAAACAAGGCTAGAGTTTTAGATTATTTGCGTCAAGGGTCTAAGGTCTAGGGCGAGTCCTAAATCCGACACCTTGCACCCTATATCAAACCAGGGTTTACCCTGAACCCTAAAGCCTAAACCGCTTCAAGGCTCAAAGGCCAAATGAAACAGACACGGGGTTTGCGGTTTAGGGTAGTAACAATAGTGGAAATAATTGCCACAATAAAAGTAAGAAGACTCCTAATCATAGCATTACTAGAAACAAAGTAGAAATAACAGCAACACAAATGGTGGTAATAGCAACAGCCATAGTAGCGTGAATGGTAGTAACGGTAACAATAGTAAAGTAGACATCATGAAAATAACCAAGCCCAACATACCTTTTTAGCGACACGAGCCGATCAAGCCATAGCCAGATTCTGCCATGAATGGCGTGCCCAGTGTTTGCAGAAGTTGCGGCATTCCTTTCCAAGCACACTCTTCTTGTTTCTGGGCTTCTGTTAAGTCACCATGTCATGGGTATAGAGTAAATAATGGGTTTCCTTATTATAGTAATTTCAACAAATTGCCTAAACCCTTAACCCTTAACAGCCACCCAGGTTTGGGGAGCCACCTGTCGACAGAGCCTGCGAGAGACCTTTGAGGCTTCGGGAGACGCCTGGGTCTCCGTGGACCTGGCCTCTTGGTGCCCCATATGCGATGGGAGTTACGAGAGACTCGGCGCACGCTGGATCCCAGGACCCGCCTTGTACCCTCAGATAGGGCTATATGATCCATGATTTAGGGTATGTAGAGGCTAATTAGATGGAGGGTCTAGGGAGAGAAGTTATGCTTTGTGGAGTTTTTTGTTTATGGCGTCATTGTTGGGACGGACATGAATTTTAAGTTCTTATTATACCGAGAAAGACATAGCGGAATGCAACGAAACAACCTTTAAATACGATCCCAAAAGTTGCAGCAAGTCCTTCAGCTTCTCAGGAAGAAAATAGGACTCAGTAGGGACGACGCAGACAGAAAGTAGCTTCTTCCATTTTCTTGACCACTTCCCATTGCGTCTCCATGTGACCCAATTGACAGGAACACTCGTATGGTAATTGCTCTCTAAACCCTAAAACCCTAAACCCTAAACGGTAATCCGCCAGTCTCCTCAAAGTCCTAAGCCCTACAAACCCCAGTTTCCGTTTCATGTTCCATGATCTTTCCTATAGGGTTTAGGGTTTAGGTTAGGGTTTAGGGTTTCTCCGTTTCCATCATTTCCTACTAGCATCAACTCCCTAAACCCAACGCCCTATACCCTAATTCCCTAAGCCAAACGCCTTATACCCTATTTCGCTAAACCCACGCCCTGTTTCCTAAAGCCTATAGAAGCTTCAATTTTCTCGTCCGTTCCCGCTTTATAACTGGCAGGGTTCCACTTGAGGTCCCCAAATTGGACATCCGATATGTACGTGATATACCGTCGCCAGCATTCCCCGCCAACCTTCTGCGCACTCACCAAAAAACCAATAACAATGAAACGCACTTCACATACCCCAATCCCAAAACTAATATGTATATATATATATATATATGTATGATCCCAGTTTCGACATCAGTTTCCATGTGAGCAGCGGTTTTTTTTTTACG